TATAGATATTAATTTCCAAAAATATAATACGAATAATTTTGTATTTCATGAAAATAATCAATCTCTTAGTAATACCTACATCAAATTTTACTATAACTATAAAATTGTTTATTTTTTACATATTTCTAAGATTAAAATAATCGTATAATTATACATATATTAATTACAAGATTTTAAGAGTAAATAATAATCTTACACTTTTATAATATAGGAAAGACCGGAGCTCGTTGGCACAAGAGACAAGTTGGCATTGCGTTCCGTTTATATATTTATGGCAAAAGAAACAAAATGAAAAAGTTATCACAAAATAACTCTTTTAGATATGATATAGGTACTTTTCCCAAAGTTTTATTTAAATCAAACAAGTATTATAATAAAAAAAAGAGAGAACTCTGATTCAAGAGGTGGCAAGTATCAAGCGTTTCAAAATATCGTATTAATGTTCTTCAGCTTGAGAAGTAAATCAAAGTGACTAATTATTAGTTAAAAGAAAAGTTTCTGTTACTATACGACATGTTATTTTGAGTAACAACAGTAATTTATTGTAATAAAATAACTGAAATCAAACGTATGTAGGGATGAGGTACCTATGTTGATTCATATTAAAAGGCACGCTTAGCTTGACTTGCTGTTACCGCGCGCGTGAGACATGTGTGAACGTATGATTTGCTACCTACAATGCTGATAGAAGTTATATATATATTTATATTAATATTTTTATATTGAAGAAAACTACATCAAAAATAGTTTACAATTGTTTTTCTGCAAACATTTTGCTATTCGATTATTACAAAATAACTTTAAAAGATACAATCTTTATCAAGAAGTACATATCTGCTACCCGATTTTGTATTTCGATTCCGTTTTCATTAATTTAACATGAACTTTTGTCGGTTTTTGTCGCATAGCCAACTTACCCTACTCGGGGCAAATTGCTACAATGCAGCATATGTTTGTATTTTACTTATTATACAAAGAAACCATAAAGCTAGTATTCAGGAACGTTCCAGCTGGCATGAAAATGTAGAGGAAGGTTCTCTCTATCATATATATTAGTATACTGTTTAATCATGATAATTAGTTGCTTAAAAACTCAAATGCCGAAATTGTGATAACTGTGCCAACGAGTCTCGGTCTCCCCTAATCTCATATTTAACCTGATAAATATACATAGAAAAAAAGAAGTGTCTAATCAAAACTTATATATACTCAAATTAACTATTCATTGTTTCGTATACCTATATACATATACGCAACAATTCATAATTTTCTTATAAAAGATCAACTTTTTATTTCAACTATTTTTCTTGAACTATATAAAATAACTTCATTCAAGCAAATTTTCTTCGTTTAACGCCAAATAATCTCTCTTCAAGATTTCTACGTTGAAACTAGATATTTTCAAATCGAAAATATTCCCTTTTTTGTATATAATACTAAATTATCTTTAAAAAAAATTGTTAAACTTTACTCTTTTTTCATTAAATACATAATTTAGTACTGATCATTTCGTATCACTTATACATGTGCGACTATAATTTAAATTTGCTACGAAATGACGTTATTCTTCAATCGACTTAAGCAAAAGCTTAAGCGCCGCGAAAAAGAAAGTGGAAGAGAGAAGGAGAGTTTATGTGAAATGGGTGCAAATCATGGACTCGCATCTAAATAGGTTCCTACGTCTACCAATCTATTCCCCCGCTTAACAGTCCGTACTACTTTTCATACCCATTTCTGGGACACCACGACTTTAAAATGCTTCATGAATATCAAATTTCCTTCTTTTCCCACGCACCTTTTTATATCCCGACTGTCTTTAACTTTCGAAGTAACGTCGTATAGTACGAAATTTAACCGAAACAAAAGTATTCCATCCGCTTGTATAGAAATAATTTGCATGTCTCTTTTAAGGTTATTTCTCGTTCAAATTTCAAGTTAACTTAAAATCAAATATAAAAAAATACGTATATTTACGTAAAAAATCCTAAAAATAAAGAGAAAAAATCAAGAAGAAAATACGTTTCAGTTCTTTTTATGTCCCATGAAAAAAGCTGAAAATTAGTTGCAATTTTTGAATTGTCTTTTTTCTGACAACTGCTGCTTCATACTTGCGTTTTAAATAAGTCTTCGAACACATATGAAATCAACGTGCATAACATTTTATTTTAGAAGTGATTATATCGCAAATGCGAATACCTTAGTATAAGACTTTACATCTCTAAATGTTACCAATAGTTGAAATCATATTTCTTTTTTGTAAGTAATTTTTATTTATAACTAAAACTAATTTTTCTTAAGAAACATAGAGTCTTGGCTTTAAAGAAGCGAGATAGAAAAGAGAAAGTAAGTGTGAGTTATTATATTTACCATATTTATATTTATCAATTATCTTAAAACAAGAATATCAATTTTTATCAATATTTTTATTCAAACTTGAACTAACATTAAAAACTAAAAACAAATTGTGAAATAAATAATTAAATAAATGATAAATATTGTCAATAGCTGTAAAATTCTATTATTAATATTTAAAACAGCAATTATAAATCTATCCTTTTTAAGCTATAAATTCTATACCAAATAAAGTTAGAAATTAGTTGCAACTTTTGGCTCAATTTTTGTAATAATGTCCACTTCCTATCTATTGCTCATCGTGATCATCATTTTAAGCTTTTGTTTAAAAAATATATAACAATATCAGGTAAATAAATTTTAAAGCAAAAGCTGTCTTTATTTCAGGT